CTCCTCTCCGTGAGACTGAGGTCGCGGTACAGAGGAATATCCATCGGGATGCGTGCGCTTTCTGCGTTGTATGGGCGGCGAAAGTGTGCCAGCTGGACATCCACGCTGCTAACGTAAAACATGGTAAGGGCGTCGTAAACATGAATGTGGAGAGTCGCATCCGTGACCTGACGGTACTTCTGCATGAACGGATCTTCAACCGCCTCGAGTGGCTCACACCACACCATCCCACCACGTTCAACCCCCTCATATAATTTAAAAGTCCGCAATTGATTGTTTTTATCAATACACACGGTACGAATGGGGCCTATCGTCTGCAGCGGAAGGGAACCAAAGGAAAAGATGAAACAAACATCCTCTGGTACATGAATAGAGGCATCGGCCGTGAGGCCCTCAAAGCGAACACCGACCAAGGATGCCGTCATATCATGACTACTTGCCAACGCATGGTCTTCCAGACGGGTGCCGTGTACGGGATGAAGTATGGGCTGCAGGCCTTCTTCTATAAGACAACGTGTTTCCCACGATATAGCGAGAGGCATGGGTGAAAGATCAACTACTTCCACACCCGCAGCGTCGCCTAGCCGCTTACCAATCTCGTCCTCGCGTCCAACAAGTCCACCTTTTTGATCCCTACGACGCATGGCTGACTCTTGCATCTCACGCAGACGACGTAGCTCTTCCATGACAGCACAAAGCATTTTGAAGACACCAGCCGAGGAGTTATCTTCAGTTGCCCACTTGCCGGCAACAAGTTCATCAGGGGAAGGGTATGTAAGTTTCAGAGGCGGTGTTGCTTCAGCAGTACGCTCAGTTGTCGTCACTCTTGAGACTGCGGGAGCCGCCGCTACTTTTTTGCCCTCCTCCAGTTCTTCAGTCGACACAATTCCCATGATTTTCCCGGGCACAGCAGTCGACGAGGGAAATGTTTGCGTGATATCGTAAACCTCTGCCAGGAATTTCTTTCCACCAGCCCCTTTGTCTGCTGTCTTTGCAAGCTCCCTTTTATCAACAGGATACCGTGAAGTGGGCGCCGACACCGGAAACGTATCCACAACGAGTGTGTCGTGGTACTCCACCGTCAGCGTTACGGTGAATGGCTGCTTGCCATACGGTGATGAAGACTCTAACATCAACATCCGCGGGTCGCGGCAGGAGAAGGGGCCATGCAGAATGGGAAGATTCTCCACGCGGAGATCACGATCTTTCATGGGCATCACACACAACGGGAAAACACAGAAACCAATCACCTCAAAGCGCTGAGATTCCTTTCCCCTCCGACGTATGGCCAGCACCAACGATGTCGCCGAGTGCACAGGAAGCAAATCCATTTCCAGCGGCACAACGGAATGCACAAGAGATGTCGACTGCTGTTTCTTCTTTTCCACAGAGACATACGCGGAGGTAGAAGTGTGACTAAATTCATTGGAACTCTCACAGCTGCCGCTGCCGCTGCTACTGTTGCTGGTGGTGGATACAGAGGAGACGATCTCCTCATCAAACACCAGCGGCACCTCGGCACCTTGTCCAAGTTGCTGGTATCCATTGTGAGACACCGCCGCAACACGCCACTCTGCGCCTTTGTCGCGCCATTCCGGATTCTCTGTTGTGGGAAAGAGCTGGATATCTCGCACAGTGCAGCGGAACGAATGGGTTGAAGACTGCGGTCTGTTTTCCGTGAAACTTTGCGTTACAATGACGTCAGGAGGCACGAGACGCGACATAAGTTGCGTCAACACAACGTCCTCTACTTCCACACATGTGTATTTCAAAGAATATGTTTCGCTACGATTATTACTGGGCCATGACGTGGAGTTCAGCAGCAGCAGTTGAGCGCTACCGGGAAGTAAATCAATGCTGCGCAATGTACACACCTCCGTGAGAGGGACATAACCCCACATCAGCACACGCCGTTCCTCAGGCAGGGCGTTGTGCCGCTCATCGCGGGCCACAACCTCCACAACCAGCAGCATATTCTCTCCACGATTTTGGAAAATGAGTGGCTCCGTCGGGGCGTCCTTTAACACGGTGTAGGTGGCCCCAACGAAGGCGCATGCCACTCGGTCGTAAAACGTCATTTGGAGTGCAATCGCGTACTGAAGTTCAGGGACCATCGGCCACTCCTCCCACACAAAACGCGCCGTGAACAGCCGGCCCCCCACGGCGTCGCTCGACGCCTTGCACTCCCACGTGTCGTGCCGGATGGCGCTTGACAGGAGCACGCGGGCCATTTGTTCCGCAGAGCGACTGCGGCCCATTCCGCACCTTTTTTTCCTTTTGTGTGTATGTATGTATATATATATGTGTGTGTGGGGGTGCACGCTTCCCTCGTGCTTATAACGCAGCCGGTAGACCGCACTGTGGGCGGGAGAAAGTGGATTGACAGACAGATGGAGAGGAAAAAGGCAGCCAAAAAAAAAAAAAAAAAAAAGAGGGGACACTCACAAAATATTTCGTAATTTTTTTTTTTTGTTTCTTTTTTTTTTTTTAAATAATAATAATTATTTTTTTATTATTTCAACGGCTAAACAAAATCAAAATTAATAATAAAAAATAATAATAACAAAATAAAAATAAAAATAAAAATAGAAAAAAAAAAAGGGTCCAGAAACTTTAACAAACAAATAAAAATAAAATAAAATAACAACACAAAATAATTTCTCCAGAGATGCCCCAGCGATATTACGCGCATCTACAGACCCAAAAGAAAATGCTTGTGGCGTGTGTGTTGTATTTGTGTGTGGAGTGGGGGAGAGTCAAATAAATCGTTGTGGCCACTTTCGTTCCTTTCCTTTTCAAATATCCTCCACTCCTCCCCAACACAGTCGCCCTCCCTCTCTTGCGATGGAGCTTCCACCTCATTTATACAAGAGCACTCGGCTGATGCTTCCACGGCTTCCCATTTACATTGGCAATTTGCTCGAGAACCTTCACGTGCGTGGCCGCCTGCGTCAGCGCGTGGTGCAGCTCGCTGCCGATGCTGATAAACGTGAAGCCCTTCTGCAAAAACTCCCCGACGCGGTCTGTGCCAAAAAGAAAGAGACCCAAGATTACATTATTCTTGCGCGCCGCCGTGATTAGCTTCTCGGTCGCATCGTTCAACTCCGTTGAGGTGTACATGTCGGGAAACACGTATTTTTCATACAGGCCCATCGACATGCAAAGATCATTCTGCCCCAAGAACGCAATATCGATACCCTTCACTGCCATAATTTCCTCAATGTTCGTGATGCAGTCCGCCGTCTCCACCTGGAACGCAACCACCACGTTCTTGTTCGCCTCACCGGCATACCCAAGCAGGCCCTTGGCGTTCATGCACTGCTGCGGCGCGTACACAGAGCGCGTTCCGACTGTCGGATAAAAGCAGCAAGACACAGCCGCGCTTAACTCCGCCGCGGTTTTGACGTACGGAATCAGCACGCCATCGGCGCCGGAATCAAGCGCGTTCTGGATGCCGGGACGGTCTTCGGTGCTCCCTACACGCACCATCACCTTCGCATGGCCGGTGCGGATGGCCGCAATCAACTGACTGAGCGTCAGCGCATCCACAGGCGAGTGTTGCATGTCAATCAACAGCCAGTCGTAGCCTGAGTGACTGAACTGCCCGGCGAGCAGGTGACTGGCGGAGTTAAGAAAGACACCAAACTTGGGCTTGCCGGCACGCAGCTCGGCTTTAAATTCAGCTCCTCCAGCAGACATTTAATTTCCCTTTTGGTAGTAAATATAAATATATATATATATGTTTTTGCTTTTGGTGTTTTTTTTAGCCTTCGTTTTTTTTTTAGGTATTTTTTCTTCTTTTTGAAATTCTTTCGAGTGACTCACACGCGCAAAAATAAATAAATAAGAGAAAAAAAAATAAAGACAAAGAAGAAGAAAAAGAAGAAAAAAAGGACACACACACAAAAACACAGACACGCACAAATATGCAGCTGCGCAGAATTGTCATTGCAAGAGGACACGGCCACAAAAAAGAAGAAGAGAGCGTGCGTGTGTGTGCGCGGGCACTTGAAACAAAACGTAGAGAAACGCACAAAAGACACGTACGACTCCGCTACAGCCACACACACACACACACACACACAGGCGAAAAGGACCCAACAACATCCCCCCAGACAATAAAAGCACAACAGCAACAAGAAAGAAAAATAAAAAGAAAAGGAAAAATGAGTTTCCTCCAGAACAAATAACGCGCTGTCAAAAACCCTCAGCTTCTTTCTTTCTCCATTCCTCCTTCTCTCTCTCTCTCTCTCTCTCTTTCTCTCTGTGCATATGTGAAGAAGAGAAGAGGGAATTCACTACCATTTGGGTTTATCAACAGCAAAGTGAGGTGCTGCTATCTTTATTATTGTCTGTGTTGAAAAGCAACAGGGCCTACAGGCCCATTTCATCAGGGTCCTTGCCTGCCTTCTCCACCATTTCCCGCTTGTATTCATGAAACATCCTCCGCATCCGCTGTGACTCATTCAAGAAAAAGAGTGCAACCATGAACCACAGGTAGCCCAAAACAACCAGTTGTGCGATGTCACTCCAGTGATGCAACTTCTTTAGCGTTTTCGCCTCACCTGCAACGGCGGTTGTGTGGTCGGTGACCTGAAACCCAAGGCTCTGCAGCGTATTGACTGCATCTGGAATATACTCCGGTGGAAGCACAAACAACATGGACTGATGCTCCTCCCGTGGATGGGTGACATATTGCTCACCGACAATGTTGATGACTCTGCGAGGGATCCATGGGTGCCGCTTGTAGCGAAACATATTCGGTGTTAGTAGTATCAATGGCGTGGGTGTCTTCAGTGGCTGCTCACGTGCGATAAACTCACGCCGGGTGAGGTTGAGGTCGATGCAGTCCGGAAATCCCATAGGATGGAAGTACGCGTAGCCAGGAAAGACACCTCGACGGATAAGAATGCGGGCAAGATAAACGTAAGTAGGATTAAATATGTCATTGCTAACGTACATGCGATGTTCCTTTGCGTACGGCTGATACACCCAGTCGTTGTAGTACGACTCCTGTGCAAAGCGGGGGGCAGGTACAACAACAATGCGCTGTCTACGGAATGGATGTGTGATCTTCAGGATGCTCACAATTTCCTGCGCCCCATCTGTGCGTATGATATCTTGCACACGCCACGTCTTTTTGCCAAAAATCGACATTGCGGCTCACTTGGTGGTCCTACTGCAAACAGAAAAAGACACAATTGAAATTAAAACCCGCGGAGGAAACAACAACAACAACAAATATATAAAAATATAAATATACAAGATAAAATGCGTCCGTTTCACGTTGATCCCTGTAAATACTTCACGCTCGCATGGTTTCCGCAGCTGGCCAGAAAAGTTCCCTGCGCCTGAGGGAGATCCTGGTCCCTCCTAGTTTTTCCTCCCCGGCAAAAAATAATAATAATAGATGAACTGAGTTTGTCTCAGTACAGACAAAATCCCGAGTTAAAATGTGTTTCCCCAAGCACCCAATAGACCCATTGACCAATTATTTATCCAAGACATATATGCTGCGATAGCCCGGCTCGTTGCAAAGCAAAGAAGAGGGGCAGACTTTATTTGAGATCCCGCAACCGCCAGGGACCCCTCCACGTAGAGGGTATTTATAATAGTGCTGGGAAAAATATCATAAGAAGTAAGAATTGCCCCCGCTGCCTTCCAACATTGATCCCGTTGGAGACAGGGGAATAATAATAAATAAATAAATAAACGTCACTAAGAAGGGAGTATGATAAATTGTGGCATATTAAACTACATGACCTTCACTCTTTCATACACACAGGGTGCCGCCATTTAAAGCGTTCTTGTGTGGTGCTCCAAGTACGCAATTGCGCAACTGTCATTGCACCGGCGAAGGTGTGGAAGAAGGGTTTCCCTCACCGTTTGATGGTATGCATTCACCTGCTGCCGCTCCGCCTCTGTCAGTGCTGATACATCAATGAGTTCATGACACAATGGCACCATGGTGAGTGTGTCAAATGTCAAAAAGCCTTTTTTGCTATGTTTCGTGGCAACATCAACAACAAGCTCGAGGTTTTCTATGCGGATGCCAAACTCACCGTCCTTGTAATACCCAGGCTCATTCGACATCACCATCCCGGCCGCTAGCGTTGCCTCAGTCGGCGTCGGCCGCAACCCAATGCCCTGTGGTCCCTCATGCACATTCAAAAATGAACCAACCCCGTGACCCGTACCATGTGCATAGTTCAGCCCGCACTTCCACAGCGCCGCACGCGCCAGCACGTCAAGAGAATGACCACTTGTGCCAGTTGGCCACACCGCGCTGTGGAGCGCGAGGTTCCCCTTGAGAACGAGCGTGTACGCCTCGCGTTCCTTGTCTCCTGGCTCCCTAAAACAAACAGTTCGCGTGACGTCGGTCGTACCGTCAAGATATTGGGCCCCGCTGTCCACAAGATACAATTGATCCGGCACAATCGTTGCGGAGCCCTCACGTGGTGCGACGTAATGCACAATGGCAGCGTTGGGACCGACCGAAGAGATGGTGGAAAAACTTAACTGCACAAAGTGTTCTCCCTCACGCCGGAAGTCTTCTAGCCGTTGGGCAGCACTGTACTCCGTGACGCTTGTGTCGCCTTTCACAGCCACCGTATCGTGTAACCACGCCAAGTAACGTGTGAGGGCCACTCCATCACGTACATGGCAGCGGCGGAAACCCTCAATCTCCACAGCGTTTTTGACAGCCTTTAACTTTTGTGCCGGGCCACACGCAACCCTTTTTATCCGCATCCCAAGAGACTCCAACAGCGTGAACAGCCATTGACTCGTCTGATGCTCGTCCAAAAGAAAGGTAGTACCGGCTGGGATTGTACGGAGATAGGACTCCAACGCGGTGTACGGGTGCAACTCCAGTGACGGTCCCTGTTCCTCGCTCATGACGGCGTCCACAAAGAGGTGTACTTTGGGCGGGGAGCAGCGCCGCAGCACGCCGTATGCGTAAAAAACAGGATTAAAGGGAACATCCGAGCCCCGCAAGTTGGTAAGCCACGCAACCTCGTCCAGTGCAGAAAGTACCAACGCGTCACACTTTTGTTGCTCCATTTCTTCAATCAACGCCGCCGCCTTTTCCCCACACCGCATGCCGCAAAATTCCTCCGGACGGGCATATAAATTTGAGACGGGGTTTTCCACGAGAGGCATTAAAGGCTGCACCATCTCCGGCACTGGCACCAGGTTGAACATCTTGCGGCGTCGCTCCCATTCGGCAACGGTCGATAGATGGTTGTTCATCCCCACAAGCACGTCGGAGCCCAGGTTCAACTGAATCCAGTTCTCTAGCTTTGGGACATCTGGGTGGCCGTCTTTCATCAACGTCCACTCCGGATAGAGAGATTGCGATGCCTCAAGCCAGTAGCGACCATCTGTCCATAAGTATGCCTCATTCATTGTGATGAGGCACGTGCCAGCACTTCCCTTAAAGTTTGTTATGTAGGCGCGGCATTTGTACTCATCCTTGACGTACTCACTGTTATGAGGATCACTGGAGGGAATGATAAGAGCACTGAGGGAGCGCTTCCGCATCGCCTCTCGCAATATTGCTAGAATTTTGCTTGCCGTCGACATCATTCTCTTCAGGGGGATTATTATTATTATTATTCCTTTGTGTATATATATATATAAGCCCTCTTCTCTTTCCTTCCTGATGCACCTTCTCTTTTTTTTCCTCTCCTTTGGAGTTTACAGACACAGACACAGTGAGAGCGGAAAAAACCAACAAAAAAACAACAACAACAAAAGACTGACCGTACCACTAACAAACAAACAAACAAAAATCACATTAAAAACACAGACATACACATAACATCCGTCCGCAAACCTGTATATATATATATTTAAACATATGTGCATAGATGTATATATGTTGATATTTGTATTTTTTATTATTTAGTATATATTACTAATAATATTAATTAGTAGTAAACAGCAATCAGTAATTAAAAAATCTTTGCGGTGATAACACCCGCTAGCATTATTTTTTGTACATCACAAAGATATTACTTGAGTATACGGCCCACATTGAGTGGTGCAGAGTTCCCCTCCTAAAGCTCCGATAATGCCCTAAAAATGGCTTCCTCTACCATTTTGTTTGTGGCACCATCAAGATGATTTTTGATATCTGAAAAAGCTTTCGCCATGACGCGCTGGGCAGCACGGCGTTCGCCAAGCAGTGTGATATTGTCAATCACAAGTTCAAAGCGGAATGGCGTGGGGATGTGATTTAGGGTTTGCGCACGACCTTCCAAGATGACATTGTAGCCGGCGTCCTTAAGCTTTCCGACGGCCATGGTTGCAAAGCGAATGACCTCGCCTTGAGTTTGTTGTGCCACAGTAGGCACCGCATGTTCAATCTCGGGTCTCTTTAGTAGTGTGTTCTGTATATCAGCCACACGTATGCTTCCCTTGAGCACAATGTCAAACCCGCCGTTTTCCACCTGCTCAAATGTCACCTGCTTCTCCACCGCAGCGAGCAGCTCGGGCGTGAGCAGTTCCGTACGTATGGGTTCCCCTTTCAAGGCCTCGAGGCTCAAGTAGGTGTAGCTGCGGAAAACGTTGCCATTACTCCATGTGACACATCGTGGCAACAGTTTCTGCAGCTTATTCACGGTCGTCCCTTTTCCCGTGCCTGAGAGTCCCTGCATAACAATAGCATTCCCCTTCTTGCTTGGCAGGTATTTCATGATCTCTTCCGTCACCTGTTGCGCCGTCATACCGGCTACGGAGATCCGTGTGACACTGCCAACATCTGGGTTCCCCGACAAAATTCCTTTGGCCTTCGCAATGCCAATGCCAACCGCCAATTTCTCCTCGTCCTCCTTGTCGCGGCGAAGAATCGCCTCCCCCTCACTGGCTGCCAGTCGTTTAAAGGCATCATTGTCGCAAAGCAGGTGGAGTACGGCAGTGCTACATTCGTCATCCTGCTGACGCAGCAACGCGGCCGTGACAGAGGTCATGAATCGTCGCGTTTTAAACAGATGCCCACGGGAAAACTGGATTGTTTTGTTTTTCTTTTTTCCTTTTGCTTCTTCTTCTTTACTTCTTGTACCTGTGGGTAGAGACAGCTCAACTCGTGTGCTCGTTTGTGTAGGGCGCGGCCCCCTTCTTTCCTTCCTTCATTTCGTGAAGAACAGAAGAGTATTCAACATTGGGGTAACAGCGGCATGTATCGTTTGGTTGGATGTCGGTGGCCTCCCACACATTTCCGCGGCAGACCGACGCCATTGGCAGCAGCAGAAAAAGGAAAAACAAGAAAGAAGAAAAAAGAGGGGGGGTGGTGGCAAGTTGAGAGGGCGGCAACGTAATTCGGTTCTTTCCTCAACACACACACAAGGGAAGACACATGCATGTCAGCACGCACAGGAAGAGGCCTCGCTGCCCCACTTCGCCCCATCCATTGCCAAAGAACCCAACATATGCGTGCGTGGGATCCCTCGCATCTCCCTCCCTCCCTCCCTCCCTCCCTCCCTTTTTTTACTTTTTCTTTTGGTGTTGCGTGCCACCACAAAACGAAGATGTGCAACGAGAGAAAGCGACTGACTGACTGGCTGGCTGAAATCGAAAGGCTCGTGAGGCCCTCCCTGGACTTCTTTGCTTCAAATATAACCCCCCACACTCCCCTCCCCCCCGCTACCACAAATAAATAAACCTCCTCCCCTCTCACGGACACGCACGGAAACACTAACAAAAACAAAAAAATAATGGGAAATTGAGATAAAATCTGCCTTCGTGTCTTTCCTCCTCAACGCCTCTCACATCTCTTCCAACCCACCCACCCCCTGCCTCACCATAACAGACACGCAGACACGCACGCATACAGGCAAATAAGCCAAAACAACAACAACAGAGAAAAAAAATCGCCAGTAAAAAGTACAAGAATAGAACAATCACATGGAAGAATTCAAACCAACAGGAAAAAATAAATAAAACAAATAACAAAAACAACAACAACAACAACAAAGAACAAAAAGCAACAACACACATACACACAAAAATACAGAAAAAAAAAAAAAGAGAGGGGGCATGAGAAACAACAAAAAGGAAAAGGAAAAGGAAAAGTTGTTTTTTTTTTTTTTAATCTATCGCCTCGCAAATTTATTCTCTGGTCGCATTTGCTCTTGTTGCAGTTGCAACACCGCGTTGTATCGGTCCAAGACATCATACACTTCTGCTGCCTGAGCAAGGGCTTCTAAAACAGGGATAAGACGCTTCAACTCATTGTCTTTGGGGTCATCAAACCATGAAGGAATTGGTATGGCATTTCGTTGTTGAAATAAGTACGTCACCGGGCTGTTATCTACAATTGCCACCTGACTCAATTCCCGTCCTAGCAATGACAAATCCTTCACGTATGCCCCGTTCAGGATACTACAATGTTCCCTGTAAAGTCTTAAGGAACCCAAAATACCTTCCGGATCCACGGCATCCATAACAGGATTACAATACATGGAAACTGACGCGGTAAAGATGACCACCTCAAAGAGTCCTGCAACGGCTTGAATAAACTCATGTAAAAAAGGGCGGTACGCTACATATATGGTAGTTACTTCTGGTTCTGTTTTCATGCTGAGTATCAGGTCATGTTGCTTCGGTTGAAGTGTAAGTGAACTGTGCACAAGCGTCTCATCAAGGTCTAAGATAAGAGTCTTTTTCCCATGATACTGCCGCATCTGTAAAGGAAGAAGTGAAGCATGATTCTTTGCAATAATAGGCGACGTATTCTTTGGCATTTGTTGTATTCTTCTAGTTCGTATCAAAAGTGCACTCAAATGAACCTTTGGCCTCACCTCCGTATCGCCACTATTCCCGCCGCCACTAACAATGCTACTACTACCAGTATTATTATTATTACCGTTGTTGTTAATATTATTGCTATTGTTGTTAGCACCATTCTCGTTCTTGTCACTCACACTACCGTCACCGCCCGAGGATGCCCCGTTAGAGCCAGTCGCAGGTTCTCTACCCGTATGCAAAAAAATATTGCCTGTCAATGACAAGCTTTCTCTTCTAGATGATCTTGGTATTTGTCGCACCTGTGTCATCAACGTGCTACTAATCTGCTCACTCTGCATGGAAAGCTCAGAGAAATCACCCCCACTGCCATCGCCGTGCTCATCCTTAACCACAGAAGAAACAATTTTACTAGAGCTTCTACCAATGGCAAATGTATTGCCAGCAACGTTAGTAGTCATTGCAGTCTTGCTCACTCTCCCTACTACCGATGTCGCCACACATGGCGCAGATGAATTCTGCGTTGTTGACAATAACGTGGACAGAGAAGGCGAAGCGATGGGCTGCTGCGGCTCATCCTCCTCTTCCTCCTCTACTCGTCTTCTTGCCCTCCTGCTAATGTACGACTGATTCGCCGCACTAATTTTGGCGGAAACACCGCGAAAAAACGATGCCGCATCTTGACTCATCTTCCCACCCTCTCCTCCACCCCCTCTCCCCTCTCAACCGTGACAATTTTTCTCCTCCCCACTGCCCCTCCCCCCCCGTCCCCACAGGCGCACGCAAGGAGTAGTGGGGGAAAGTAACACACACGCAGCGCAAGAAAAACACCGCCTTTTGACTTCACACGCTCGCACTCACCCTCCCTCCCCTCAAAAACAAATAGAAAAAAAAAAAAAAAGCTCCTTCTCCTCACGTTTTTGTTTTTGTTGTTGTTGTTGTTGTTCACCGCTTGCGCAAGTCACTCACCCACTGGCCCTCTTCCTGTACAGCAAGAGGAGAGGAGATGACGTCAACACTAACAGCGATAGCGAGATGGTGGCGGCGGGCACGGATAAACCTTTCCTCCCTCTCCCCGCCCCTTCCCCTCCGGCAGCAGCAACACGTGGTATAAGTGAACACTGAGGAACAAAAAAAGAAGAACAACAACAAAAAAAAAAAGAAAAAACCTTCAATTTCTCTCTCTTTTTTTCTTTTGCAATGGCTGTGGCCTCCTGCGTGCGAGGGTCCTCTCTCCCTCGCTCTCGGCGGGTGTTTGTGATGTGCACAGCCGACCGGTAAATTCCTCCCTCCTCCTCCTCCTCCTGTTGCTCTTGCTACTGGGAACCCTTTCGGCTCTCGCTCAGAAAAACCAGCACGCAGACAGAAGGCACGATGGCGGTATTACTAACACCCCGCACACACACACACACACGGAGGAGAAAAAGAGACGCTGCACAATGAAGAGGCACTCAAGCAGAAAAAAAACAAAAAAAAGCTCTCACACACACACAGAGAGAGAGAGAAACAAAGCAAGAAAAGAAATGTTTTTGTTCCGGTAAATGCCGTCAAGACTATAAATGAACGAATGCACGTGTGTGCGCTGAGGGCCCTTCTCTACTGTTGTTTTATTCTTTTATTCTTTTTCCTTTTTTTTTTCGTTTGTGGTTGTCTTGTGGCAGCCTAATCCCCTTCTTACGGCAAATAGCCGACACCCATACATCATGATGACAAAAAAAGAAAAAAAAAGAAGGAAAAAAAAAAGGAGAAGGGCGGAAAAATGCGACTTCGGTGCAGGCATAAGTGGGATGGACAGAAACAAAAAAAAAACATAAAACCAGCAGCAACAATAACAACAGCCAAACACACACACGCACACACACACACACATATAAATATAAATATAAATATATATAGTAAAAATAAAAAAGAAAAAAGGCGAAGCGTATTTGTGTGTTTTTGTGTGTGAAGGGAGGGGGGGGGGGAATAAAACAAAAAAAATTTCATCGACGTTGAGGAATTCATTCACAAAAAGCACCTGTCAAATAACCTCCGAAGCACGCACAGTCATACAAGTATAAAATCTAATCACGGAAAACACATGTAGTTTGCACACAATAAATCCATATAAAAGAAGCGAGGTGGGTGGGAAGGGCAAAAAAAGAAAAGAAAAGAAAAAAACCAACAAATATTCCATTGGCATGTATCGGATGATTCATAGACAACACTCATATAAAAAAACCCATCGTCTTAATTTGGTAGGACTCATCAACAACGCCAACAAGAGTAACAAAAAAGAAAGAAAAAAGGTGAAAAAGAAAGTAAAGGAAACAACAACAAGAACAATATGTAAAATCAAGTGTACAGTGATCTGTACTACTGCCTATAGTGCCTATCATTCTGTCATGTATATTACTCAATACATGACTATATTGTACATATTGATGGCGGTGTGGGTTCAGGTCACAATAGTCCTTTCCCCAGTGTCGTGATCGAGCAGGACTTGTGTCCGAGGATCTGGACGAGCGCGTACTTCGTAGCGACTCACATAACATCGAAGGCCGCTAAATGAAAGTACCACTGTCACCTCCATCTCCCGCCGCCCAACGCCATTCACTACAAATCGCATTTCAATCCCACGCACAGCCGTTTTCGCTGCCTCTTTTTCATTCATTTCGCCGCTATCGTCGTTTGCAGCAGCAGCGGCAGTAGCACTACCACCGCCAACAACACCGCCATCCCTGTCGCCGCTCTCACGGTCTGTGTTTTCACCTGGGGGTTTCGATAACGCAGGGGCTCGCAGGATGACTTCGCTCACAAGTTTCGCGTCTACCTCTCGCTTTGACCCCTGCGATATACCGCATACACGTTCAATACTACGCTGCAGCTTTTCCAGATCCGTCATGTAACGTTCCTGAAGTGCCGGTACCATCATCATCACCGCCGCCTTTGGCGATTGCTCAAACAACTTCTCCACAAACGACTCCGCAAATGGCACAAAGTCCTCCGTGTGCAGAAAATTTAGCACGTCAAACTGCTCCTCTGGTCGGGGCTCCACAAGAAAGCCGGTGATGTAAAAACTTCTCACTAAGCCGGCCTTCTGGAAAAAGACATCCCCGGATGAGCGCCATCTCCATGACATGCGGCACTTCACCCGCTTTGCATGCTGAAAGTCCACAAGGGCTACAAAGTTCACATCATCACATCTGCTCCTCATCATGACGGTGTCGCGGGGGATGTGCTCAACTTTTCCAAATTGTTTGCAGAGACACCGCGCCATTGCCCGAATCAAGCCACGTTCCACCACGTTCTCAAGCAATTCCGGGTGGAGAAGACTCATGAGCGGCTTGTCGTAGCCTGCTGTCGCACCGTCCGTTAAATAATCCATAAAAATAATAAAAGGAGCCATGGTGGATGCCATAACTTCACGAGACCTCTTAAATAAATAGTACAGGCCGTACAGAGCGAGAATCAGCCATGAAATTGCCATGCCGAAAAGAACATTCTGCACAGAAGTGTCACCAAAAAGAAAATTACCGACAGCGGCTATTTTATGTGGTATGATTTCCGCCATCGTGTTATTATTATTATTATATTTCATTTTGTGGACGTATTTCGTTCCTTCTTTCCTCCGCCGGGATGCACCGGTTGTGCCAAGAATGAAGGGAAAAAAGAAAGAGAGAGAAGAGGCGTCACCGCGGGTGCAGCGGAACAGGAGGAAAGACAACAAAAACAACAACAACACACAAAAAAGAAGTAAATGGCGGCCGCAGAAACACAACCGAAAGGAAATCAAACCAAATAACACACATTGCACGCAGAGAACTGTACACTGCTCCCGGTGTAAAAGCCATCCCGCTAAAAAACAACAAGAGAAACAACGGGCACGGCGTGGTTGCTATTCCCGCAGTGTTGGTGGTTGGCCTGTCTGCGCAAATCCATGCGGAAGGCCCTTTGGGGCGCAGTGATTCATGGAACGCCTCTTCCCCTCGACATGAGGTTGAATGGAAACGTCAAAAATAGACGACGACGCCTTTTCCCCGCTGACACCACCCCAGCGGATTTTTTGCGGTTGAGTGGATGAATGCAATTTCCCACTCAACGCCTTCGGCGGCTTCACAGTCCAACGCGAGAGGAGCGTCCTCACCGGTCGCATTGGCAACTACGCCCTATTTTTTTTTTTTTCTTTTTCTTCTGTTCTATCTCTCCTTTCTTCAATGCCGTGTGATTATTATTATTTTTTTATTCCCTTTTTAATTCAAGATTTATCCTCCTCACCTTCTCGTCCTCCCTCACACTCAACCGCGTGCGTTGGGTCACGGCACTCATATCTACCGGTGTTTTGTGTGTGATGGAAAGACGGTGCAAGAGAGAGAAAGGAGCCAGAAAGTGGGAATTGTTTCGCCAACATGAGAAGAAACAACAGCACCTCCTCCGGCAAAGAAGACAACACAAAAATGCAAGCTTCTCTCCTCCTCACCGCTCCTCTTCATTGAATCGCCAGCCAATCCTTTTTGTTGTTGTTCTTTACGCACTGAAAACAAAATGCTTCACATGCATACACCACCGCCATAACATTAAATAAAAGCGGAACACAAGGATCTCGTAAGAATCCTCCCCACGTTTCACTGAAGTTGACGAATAGTCTCTGCGAAATCCATTGCCAAAGGCGCAACAAATGTGACAACTTCAGCAGTTCGAGGGTGCACAAGAGTGAGTGCAGCGGCGTGAAGGGCCACTCGGTCAATGAGTGGTGTGGTGCAGGCGGCACCCCCATGCTCAACGTCCTGTAGTATCGGAAGCCCGGCAGCCGCCAAATGGCGTCTTATCTGATGTTTCTTGCCTTGTTGAATTCTGCATTCCAAAAGGGCAACACGGGCCTTCCGGAAGAACCGTATGACGCGATATTTGGTGTAGATCTTAGGGTCCATTGGATCTCGTAGGACCCCACGCAGCGGGATCCGCCGGAGGTCAGGCTCCATCACCGCACATAACGCGAGATACACCTTGTTGCACTGGGAATACGCGGCGCTTGTGCCCATCTGGTGGCGTAGTGAGTCCGCAGCGCAGTCGGTCTTTGCCATAACGAGACATCCACTTGTCTCTGCGTCGAGTCGGTGAACTTGGCCCTGACGAAATACGCCACGCGTTGTCTCCCCGTTCTTCGTAGAGGCGAGGATCAAAGAGACCACGTCGGTGGCTGTTTTGTCATTCATTTGAGTACAACTGAGTGCGTGGCGGGATGATGCCAGGTGCGGTGGCTTGTTAAGAACCAAAATGTCATTGTCCTCAAAAATAACAGGCAGGCACGATGCAAAGGAAAAAGAAGAAGTTGGAGAGGACCTCGCCGCTTGCATAGCCGCCTCCACACACTCATGCACACGAGGAAGTTTTACCGTCACATGAATATGTCCTTGCGGCGCGACAAATGCCTCAACTCCCTCCTGTTTTTCTGCAAGTAGCGTGCGCCAATAACTACATTGCGGTGCGAGTGCCACCAACGCATCCATGAGAGTCTGTGATTCTAACGATGATGACTGCGATGGCGATGATTGTGGTGGCATTAAGAAGTTTAACTCCTCCGGCCGCTCATCATTCCCGTGGCATTCGCCACACTCCTCGATAAAGTGCGGGAAACTCGAGTGCGACGGCTCCAATTCACCCCTTTTTAGCAGCAGCGCGTACTGCCGCAACAGCCGGCTGTCCACAAGGCATCGCTTCGGGTCTTTCAGAACACATGAAAGCGCGGAGCGATACACGGCCGTGTCGGAGCCACCGATCATATTCGTGCCTTGGCCACCCTCCAGCATGGCGGAAACCCACTTCCGCTCGAGGTCCGTCAGGCACCAATTACTGAGGCAGTCAAGAGAGACCCGCCGTGGCATCAACCGCTTACGCCGCACAATGTCGGAGATGACGCGACCACGCTCCATCGGCCACATTTCCTCGTGAAGGAACTGTGAGCCCCAGCGCTGAATAGCCCCCGCGTCCGTGGGAAACACAACGCCAGGATCAACATTAAAGCGGCAGGCTGTCGCAAGCGACTCGCGCAAAGCCGCCCGTTTTGGGTCGTCCGCACTCACTTCCCGCAGCTCCCATAACTTGTTGCGTAAACAAACCGCAACTTGTGTCGCACATGTCTCGGACGCTGCGGACATCTCGTCTTTGGCGGAAAAGCTCTCCAGAAAGAAAAGCGTCGCCGCCGGCACATCGAGATTCACCAACGCCGCCAACGCCGCACTCGCGCCGCTGCCAAGTGAGGGCAGTTTTGTGTTCATCGCCAACGCGAGCGCGGCTTGTGGGTTTAGTCGAACTAATTCCTCCACGACGCCACGGTACATCGCCACTTCATCAGGTAAAAACAACTCCTTTTCCTCCTGCTGTGGGATCTCCCTTGTTAAGAGTCGATGTGCAAATGCCTCCACAAGGCTAAAATCGTGCGCCATCAGCCGTCCCTCCGTCTTTGCTAGAAACCGAGACTGACGACAGCGCAGCTCTGTGACCGTGTGCTGCGTTGTATCCTTGACACAAAGCAAGTGGTTTGAGTTTTTTAACCACGTGCCAATGGGCGCAATATCGTTTTTGGATGCCAACACAACCTTCCTTGCCTCCTGTACACAAACCAGGGCCTCGGATTTTGGAAGCTCCGCCAACAGCTGCTGCAGTGCAACGGGGTGCAGAAGCTGAACAGCAGAAGCCGCCCCGAAGCCATCTACAAAGACCGTATCTATGAAGCAAGTTCTCACATCGTGTGGCGTCACATTTTTCTCCAACAAACGGAGTGTAGCAGCAGATGACCGCTGAACAAGCCCACGAACCTGGTGCATGCCCCTTCCTTCCCCACACCAAAGAGAGACAGAGAGAGAGAGTGTGTGTGTGTGTGTGTGTTTGTTTGTTTGTTTGTTTGTATGCGTAGCAATTTCAATGCCAGTTCAAAGATGGGGAGCAGAAGAAAAAATCCCCTCTTTCCCCCTAAAAAAAAAAAAAAAACAACCACCAAAATATAAAAGAGTGGTCGAGAACTTAGGCGAGTTTTGTAAATGTTTGAGGAAAGATAGTGGGATACAAATCTTCCTTTAGCAATATCCGGAAAGATTCCATTCCACATGCATCGATGCTACGTGAAACAAACATTATAGGTGCTCCTCATCCTCCTTTGCAAAGCAGAAAAATAAAAGAAGACACCCGCACATTTTTATTTCCGTATTAAAATAATCCTTCGTGTCTCTCTCTCTCACTCTCTCTCTCTCTTTCTCTCATTTTATATTTGTGCGTATGAGTAAATAAATAAATATATGAGTGTGCGCCCCCTGAAAGAAATCTACAAAAACAACACACACACACACACACACACAAAAGAAAAAAAAAAACTGAAAAGTAGGCGCGTGTTTGGGCCTACAACGTCATATCTCTGTCTGTTGTATGAATAAATGATTCTTCTTTTATCCCTCCACCAATTCCTCCTCCATACTATCCATATCATTTTGATCCTCAGGAACAACAGCATCATCGTTCACTGCGTCACTCTCTGTCTCACTTGAGGACGATGAGGCTGAAGATGAGGATGATGATAATAACCCACAGCAGCGGAGGCATGCAATGTAGTAGATGGACCGTCGTGAATTCATTCCCTCCGCCTCCATCCCCGGATACTCGCGTCGAATATGAACAAATTGCGTTCTCGTGTCGTCCAGTTCAAAGTAACGTGAATCGAGACAGTCAAAACAAAAAGAGGAGGGACACTCTGTACACATAAACACAGCCCCATCAAAGCCTTGCACCTTGCCGCACGAGACACAGCTATGACGGGGGCATGTCCACCGTCGTGGGCCAATCATGCCAGCTTTGGGTCTCCGCTCGCCGATACAATCGGCATGATATGCCTTGGGACACACGGCACAGTGGTACAATGGTTCTAACGGCCGCATGATTTCCCCACACACAAAGCAGTGGTGGGTAACACCCACGACTGCAGACCTCACACCTCGAATCTTCTTCGTTGTTGCATGGGACCTTGGCAGCCCTTCTACCTCGTTGCACAGCAGTGCCTCCACCATGGTTTCTTCCACGGAATTGTCGTGGTCAAAATCCACGACGTCCATATGTGACAAATGGCAGCGGGGATAATTTATAATTCGATTCTCATTGCCGAAAAGCAAAAGGATCTGGTGCGCGGAAAGTGCCGGAGCAGATGAATCATCCCCTTTGCAACTCCCGCCATCTACAATAAAGTCTCCAAGTGACGCTTTTCTTAGAGCCACGTCATGAATACGCTCTTCGATGGTGTTTTTTAGGCAAAGACGGTGCACACGGACAACACGTGTCTGACCAATGCGATGAGCTCGGTCGGCAGCCTGGCGGTCAATCTGCGGGTTGTAATGAGCATCAAAGAGAATAACGGTATCTGCGCCTGTCAGCGTCACACCAACACCGCCAGCTGTTGTGGTGAGGAGAAACACAAAACAAGCTGACCCGGGAGCATTAAAACGTATCATGGATAGTTCACGCTCCACACGTGGTGTAGAGCCGTCTATTCTTTCAAAGCCATAGCCTCGCAGTACACATAATGCCTGCAGAAGATCCAAAATAGAGGTAAAATTGGAAAATATAAGACAACGATGCCCATTCGCCTTAAACTCCCGCAGCATGCGGTCGAGTTCAATCATTTTAGCGCTCGGTGCAATGATGGAGGCTTCATCCAATTCTATACCTGCTGAAGCTAAGCGTTCTTCCCACCCCGCTTGGGCTGAGGCCCGAACCTCAACACCTAATATTCGTAGGGCTAACGGGTGACAACAGACAATACGTTGATGTGTAAAATGAGCCTGAAGACGTGTCGCATTGGCCTTATCTCCATTCAAAGCCTGCTCAGTCATACGGAAAAGTAATTGCCGCTGCAGGCGTGTAGGCTCAATCATACAAGTGGGTTCATCTACACGTGGCGGGATGCCCAACTCAATGGATCCCTTTGTTCGACGTAGCATAACGTATTGAAGCAACTTTGCGCAGTCCTCGGCTGCTTTGATTGGATCGTCGTCGTCGCCGCTGCTGTCGTAGCTGGCACAGTAGGAAGGGTATAGGAATTTCATGAGGCTCCACACCTCACCCAAATTGTTGTGAACAGGAGTACCCGTCACGGCGAGACGAAAGCATGCTGTAAGCTTCCGTGCCACATAAGAAATTATGGTATCGCGCCCCTTCAGTACATGGGCCTCATCAATCACAGCCACAACCCATGCCCGTTTGCGGAAAAACCCACGATCCTGATTGAAAACGGCGGGGGTTGTCACAAAAACACAATGACGATTGCCCCGAGTTGTGCGTATGGATGCCCGTCCCTTTCGCTCTCCGTGGTACTTCACGACACGCAGCGTTGGTGCCCACCGAGCGAGTTCTCTCGTCCATCCTGTGAGTGTCGACAGCGGCGATACAATAAGATGAGGCCCGTCAATGGTGTGCTGTGTTTTAAGCAGGTGGAGAAAGGCCGAGATCTGCGCCGTCTTGCCGAGACCCATGTCATCCGCCAGAATGCATGACGATCCCCTGTGAAAGTTGTTCAGTAAGTATTGGACCCCTTCAAGCTGGTAGGAGCGCAATATGTAGCCACTCGCCGCGCCTGTATTCTCCGGCGTTGATACGGGCGCAGGGAGAAACTGCGGCCCTCGCGTCTCCGCCTCAATGCGGCGCACCGCCTTGTCACTAAAAAAAGGCTCAAATACCCGCACAAGGTCAACGTTGTGCCGCAACTCCCATCGAAATTGAACCGCAAATCGTTCGGCAATTTCTGCCAGCACAGCATTGGACCGCGTCGTCCACGGAAGATCACGGAGAGCCACAGGCGTGGTTGCTGTGGGAGCCGCGACGTGTACGCCTTCACTGGACGAGACTGCCGCCGCCTCTTTGGGCTGCACAGACACTTTGTGATGGCCACCAATAAGCAGGCGCAACTCCTCCTCCTCCTCCTCCAAGTCCCTTTCATCTGAGAGCAGAACGACCTTCACAGGACTGGAAAAGGCCGTGTCAACTGAAGATGTCTTCTCAGCACAGCTCAGCTCGGCCGCATTCGGCGATGCGGTGGCGGAGGCGGCATCCGCCACCACATCTTCTGCTGTTGTTTTGTATTCTTGTGTGCTTTCTAGCGATACGTCTCCTTCGATGCGATGACGCTTGAGTCCCGTCCTGGGAACCCGCCTTTTGCCAAGAAATGTAGCGAATGGATTATCAAAGCCCATTCACTTGACCAGCGGTTAAATCAGAGCCCTCTAAACTGCAAGTGTACGTAAATATACATACACAGAAAGGGAAGAAAGAAAAGGGCAAGCAATGTACACAAAAGGAAATAATGTAGAAGAAAAAAAAAGCTAAACAACAAATCAGATAAATGGCAGAGTCCAGTGCAAGAAAAGAAGAAACTACAAAAACGGGAGCAAAGTGAATGAGGCGATGATGCCGATGGTCGATTCACAGACAATGAAAAAATTCCAACATAAAAAAAGAATGTTGTGTATTCCTGCTGACGTGCCCACCTTCCTCTCCTCTGTCCCCCTTTCCCCCCTCCCTCCACACACACACAAAATAAAAAGAAACTGTGAATGCTCTCACCGCATCCACCTGCTCTCTCCTATTTGATTTCCCTCATGCGCCCTGTTTCCCTTTTCTTTCCCATCCAAGAATAGAGAAACAGTCAGGGAAAAGTGAGCCACCACCCACTCTGATATCCGACTTCCCTCGCATTTCAGCACAATCGAACCTCGCCCCACCTAAAACTTTCAATCTCCCCCCGTCCCCCTTGTCACACCTAACCGCCATTGCGGCACAAACACACAAAAAAGAAAAATGATGCAAATTCTCTTCTTCTGCTTTTTTGTTGTTTTCCCTCCTCTCCCTCACCAAATGTTGCTGGTGTTGAGTTCATCGCGTGTTGTGACGCGACTCAGGACGACTGTGATATCGTCCTTCTTTCCACCCTTTGCGTCCGCCGCACCAAACGTGCGCAACATCGATGCCCACGGTGTGTGGGCCTCTTCGTCCACCGATATCTTGTAGGCATTCTGCACAAGTCGCTGCGCCACACGCTGCGGATCGATATACGCAACTTTCTCGTCTGCGATGATAGCGCTAAGGAAGAAACCAACAAGTGGCACCCGCTCAAAGACACTCCCTTCCACCTTCCCGACCCAACCGGCATCAGAGGCAATTGCGGCGTTAAACAAATTGTCAAAAAAACCATCCGTGGCGGCAATGACAACGTCACCCTTCTGCACCTCCACCTTCTCACGTGTGGCGTCACTTACTTTATCCGAGAAGGCACGACCCCGAAGGTGTTTTGGCACGACCGCCAGTTGAAAAGGAGCATTAAAGCCATGGACCTTTTCGTGCACGCGATGGAGGACTTTGCGGTTACGAACGACGAGGAGGCCACTGTCCCCAACGTTGGCGACATCAATAACATGCTTCCCAGTGTCCTCCTTGCGCAATGCCGCCACGCACGCCGTGGCGCTGCCTGCTTTCACCTTCTTGTCATTCAGCACCTTGTCAAAGGCGGACTGGAGAATGATCTCGGGATTCAACTCCTTGCGGTGGGTCTCGGCAAAAAGTTTGGCGTTTTCCATCAGAGAGTTCGAGAAAAGCGCTGGGTCCACCCCCTCGTCACGCCAGCCACCAACACCATCCGCCACACCAATGACTTTGTATGTGTTGGAAACAAAAAAGCTGTCTTCCCCGCAGTCCAACTCAATGAAACTGGCACGTTTTCTCCAAGAAACAAAACGACGCCGCTGACGCTCCTCCACATCACTACGATAGCTCTGAGCGGGAGAGGGCCTTGCTTTACAAAAGGCCCATGTCTGCAGCACAAGTTCCTCAACGTCTTTCTCATCTTCTGGGATTTCTTCAGGCGGTAGGCCCCAATTACTCGTATTGTTTGCCGCCGCCTGCACCACCTCTGGGGGAACAGGTATACTCTGCCATATCCCCATTACTAACCCACCAAAATAATAATAATAATAAATAAATAAGATGAGCAGAATACCCTACAAGACAAAAAAACCCCGTCAAACCGAAAAGGGAATAAGACAAAAACAACAACAACAACAACAAAAAAGTTTCATCACAGCGGTAGGGGAAGGCATAAAAAGGCGGATATCGAAAATAAATGTATACATGTGAAAAGAGGAGGGAGGAAAAAAAAAAAAAGAAGAGGTAGTGGTAGTGGGCATGTGCGACAGAATGTTCACCGCCTCTTCCTCCTTCTCTACAAATACCAAAAAATTAAAAAAATAATAATAAAAAAGAAAAACTGACACTGCACATTTTGAAAAAAAAAAAAAAACTTTTTTTTAAAACAACATGAAGATAACAACAACAACAAGAGGAAAAAAAAAAGGAAAAAAGCAACTCCGTTTGGACCTGCTCAGTTCCGTTCCTACGGTCACACAAATCAAAAGGGGACAGTGAGTGCGTGGACTGCTCACCACAAAAAAAAAACAACAACAAAAAAACGTCAACGGCCACCCGTAAAGAAACAAATCCTGTTATCCGAACACCATAACCAAATGAAAGGAAAAAAGCATGCAAGACTAAACCGCTCCATCTCACAAGTACTCAGTGTGATCACTCATGCCGGTATTCATCCCACACGGATGTTAAAGGTCAAAATACGTAATTACAACACAGACACACACACAAAAAAAAGAAAGACACGACAACTGAGGTTCAATGGAAAGAAGAGAGTGACGATGTTGATAAAAATCACAACTTATGGCTCCCAACTATTCAAAAGGTTTTTTATCTTTATTTTCCTTCCCCCCTTCCCTTCCTACAGGGAGTTGTAATCATCATCTTCATCCGTCAACACATCCGAGGGCAGTACGCCACAAGCCAACAAAACTTCTTTAGCCATGCGGACAAACGCAGTAGGGCCGCAAACCATAGCGAGAACAGGAGATGACGGGCCCAAGAAATCCCCCACAAAACTCTGAATGTCCTTCTCATCGGGTCGCCGACCGCATGTAAAGAGCGACCACAATGACTCATCTCCGGCTGCATTCGCTGAGAGCTCCTGCTGCTTCGTGAGGTAGCAATGGAACTGGTATTCGAGGTGCTCTGTTTTGGAATGGTGCCACCGTACAAAGTCCTCTAATTTCGCAACGCAGGAGACCCGTCTTTCAACATGGAGGTGAATGATACGAAGTTTTGGTATCCCCTGCATGCGTTTGCCCTCAAATTCTTGACGAAGCGAGGAGTAAGGCGCCGTCATAGCGATCCCTGCAGAAAGCATCACAACACGTCCCCCCACCTCACGCAGACGGCTCATATGATGCATCAAGGTGAAGCTCCCACCATACAGAACTAATGAAAATCGCTGATGTAACGCGTTGTTTGACATCCACGCCGTTCCACCGTTGGAGTGTTCTGCAGTCTTGATGATGAGAGTAAAATCACATCCCTCCTTATTCAGTTCAACCACGGTCCACCGCCGCACAAAATGCCTCCCGGGAGGGGCCGCAATGGGCAGCTCCAAGTCAACAAACTGCCCTGGTACCAATGAGTTGGTGTCAAGCTCTCCCTCAGATAGCCGAAAGTAGTACTCATGTGTATCGTCACACACAGGCTCGACTGCTACACACGTCAGGATCGGGTGATTCAAATAACTGAATAGTTGCAGTCTATTCCCCGTTACCATCCCAGCAAACACATGCCCACTACGAACGCCACTATGAATCCCTGCACCAAGTCCATTCATACTACGGTGGGTTCTTCTACTATCCTCCAAAGGAGAAATCATCGCTCCCTGCATGTTAGCAATGACCATTTCCGCGTAATTATCACTTGCAAGACGCGGCCCGGAATTATTTAACGTCACAAACACCTCACCGTCCTCTACGGTGACGATGTGGGTGCGTTGTTTCATTCCCTTGGAGCATACCTTCTGTGGTGCCTTCTTGTCCGGAACTCCCTCCGGCGTCATCTGCAGGGCCCAGTAAAGACCCTCACCGGTGTCAAGAGTGATGCGGTACTCATGCCACGGGCACACAACGCACGGATGACTCCCCATTTCCTCAATATCGCCTTCTAGCAGCGGCCCACCATGATGATAGCAGGCGTTGTCTAGCGCGTAAAACCGATCCTTGTAGCGATACACGGCGATATTCCTCTTATCGCACTTGACCAACTGCCGACTTTTTTCCTTAAACGACGCCGCCGGCCCAACGTAAAATCGCCCTGTTGTTGCCATTGCCACGTTTCCTTCCCTGTGAAAATAATAATAACAATAAACGCACAAGAAACATATCCCATTACTTTTGCCAGCAATGCAACGCGAAGCAAAAAAAGCAAAGCAAAAAATAACAAAAAGGACAACAAGGAAAGGAAAAAAAAAAAAAAAAACATATGGATATAGAACTCAGATCTGTTTACTTCTTTGCGTCTCCAATTGTTTTTTAAACGCTTATTTTTTATTCCTTCTTTTTAGCACCAAAAGGGAATTAAATAACTAGCACCGCCTCTGACCATTTTGTTACATCTCCTTTTAATTTTTGTTCTCCTTATGTCTTCAAGCTCCCTTGAGAGAAAACCTCTGCTTCTCGGCATTTTCAACAACCCGCTCGCGGTGGAGTCCCTTGCGGCGGCGAACACGCTCGAGTAACTGCCCCGCAATGTTTTTCATCACCACCTCGTTGCCATATTCCTCAATTTCTTCTTTTGTTGTCGGTGTAAAGTACGGGTCCGCATCCACAATGCTCCACAGACTCATTTGGAGTTGTGCCGTCGATGCCCCTTGCGTTATGACACGTAGCTCATCCTGCAGCCCAAACGCCTCCACGGCAGGCAGCAGGCAACGGATGTAGAAGAGATCACTGCCTTCATTAGGCACTTCTTCAATAATCTCCGCGCGACGACGGCTGAGAGACCCATAAATCTTCCCCTGTGTCGCACCAAACGAGTATACAGTGCACTCATATACAGGCTCCACGAGTCGCCGTGGGTGAAGCTCCATCGCCGCACGGCAGGCGTCCCGAACGCATGGCAACACCATTCCACCTGTCAGGCCGGAGGAGGTGTCAACTGAAATATCCGTAATGATAAACGCAATGTTCAACAAAGGCTCCTGTGCCATGGGGCCACTCTCAGCTGCTGCCTGAAATCCCGCTATGATGGAGTCCTTCCAGTCCTCAAATAGTCGCAACTTTTCCAAAGATGTTTCGTCGTCACCAAACTGCAGCAACAAGAGTGCTCCGAGAAACCTAAGCTTTGTTGGACCAGATGCAACAATCCCCTGTTGCATTTCCGCTGCCCATCGCTTGTTTGCCCTTAGCGCAGCTTCCACCTGTCGCAGCACCTGCATGCTGGAACCATGATTCATGCAGTCATCTTTAATTATATCGAACACCTCTGGAGGCATACAACGGGCGTGTAGAGTGATCGAGAAGGCACCATCAGCAGTCGTGCCCGTATGCAACTTGGGCTTCATACTCGCACCTCCAGCAGCAAGAGTCTCTCGAAACGACACAATCGGTTCAGACGCCAAAACCTCCACCCGAGCAAAAGTATCCACAAGATCTTTTAAACATCGCTCCAAGTGTACTTCCCCAGCTGTGCCAATCACATGTTCACCCGTGGGGAGAATGCTCACTTCCACCTGCGGGTCAACCCGGTACAACAACCGTAACCCTTTCACCAGTTGGAGGTGGTCTTTCGGATCCTTTGGATAGACAGAGGCACGCAAGATGGATGTGCTCTGCAAGACGAGGGGTTTAAACGGCGGCACCCCCTCCATCGTTGACAATGTGGCGTACTTTGTGATGTATGACGTGAGTCCACCAACGCCACAAAGTGTTCCGCTACAGGCTTCGGTCGCCTCATCCAAACCCGTGCCACGGAAAAGAAAAACTTTCCCCACATTTACCTCAACTACCTTTTCATCGCTGTGAACATGCACCCTTTGACCTGGAATAAGGCGACCACTATAGACTCGGGCAAATCCAATAAATGCATCGTCCCCATCTTCCTCTTGTCCAATCGTTGTACCCACAAGAAACTGCGTATCAATAAGCCGACAGACATAAAGAATACATGGTGCATCAGGACTGTTTGAGCAATTCATCAACGCATCCTTTACTTGACTAGAGGCCTCATCAAATCGCGGAATAAGGAGGGGCAGTCGACGGCGTTGCGCTACAACAGGAGAATCTAACTTGTCGCAAATGACGCTTAGAACACAATTTGCAAGCGGAAGCCATGAAGACAGCAACGCCTTTAATTTTCCTCGCTGGTCGCGTCGAGGGTTATTCCACAAGCGCTCTGGAACACCCAGCTTAGCAGCCATACGCAACTGCAGCTCCACATTATCTTTCTCTCGAAGAAACGTTCGGTATAATTGCCAAATGGGTTCCAGCATTAACTGCACTGCTAGCGGTTGCTGTCCAGCTCGCCGTGGAGTTATATCGATGGCCTTTGTTTTGGCATCAAGATAATACTCTCCCCAGAGAGATGCATGCAAATTGGCAATATCCAATTTGCTCTCGTAGAGAGAAGCAAAAAAATTGGTCGTGAAGGCCCATCCATCGTAGCAACTACAAAAAAGTACGTTGCCTTTCGTCGGGCAGAACCATACATCATCACTAGGATCACCACGATCTTGATGCATGAAAGACTCCTCACCCTCCTGAATCTTGAGTTGATTGGCAAAAGCAGCAAGTGCAGCGTTGCATGATTCCACAATGGAACGCATTCGGTAATATGCCTCCTCTGGGGTAATTTGCTGCACCATAACCAAAAGGTCCACCTTGTTAAGTACAAGACACATAGATAGACCCTCACGATACGCGTGACGCAGCATGCTGCTTGTCTGCTGCGTTACACCGTCCACCACATCGACAATGATGACTGCACCATCACACAACCGCATTGCTGTAGACACTTCACATGAGAAATCAATGTGTCCAGGCGAATCCACAAGATTCAAAAGGTGCTCTAC